ACAGTAGGTAAGTCGTTCATACTGTGGTGGAAATTATTGACCACTAGACAGTATCTTCTCGACGCCCTCATTGCAGTTGCAGGATTTTTGATGTTTGGTCAAAAGGTCCATGATGAGGTAACGTCAAATGTACTTATGAGCAAAGGGTATCCGCACGCAATCTCCGTTTGCATCGTTGTTTTCATAGCTATCATCCCCCTTACCAAGATACCTCTCAAGTGAGCGAATGCCCACGGGAAAAGCTCTGTCTCGGTACTTGTGCTAAAAATGATCCTAGTGCTCGTCCCATCTACAACATAATCGAAAAATTAGTCGGCCTCGACCCTCAAGAAATGCCACGGGCGTCCGGCCTTCTTGGACTCTCAGGCTACACCCGCGGTTTCCTCAAATTTGCGATCCGAGTCTTTACTATCGCCGTCATTATACTAATTGCTATTCTTGTACCATCGTTCGACACGATCATGGCTCTCATGGGTTCAGCGATGGCGTTTAGTATATGCATTATTCTACCATTAGCATTTCATCTCAAGTTGTTTGGGAAGGACTTGGGGAAGAAGGAGAAAGTACTGAATTGGTTCTTGATTGTTGTTTGCTCGGTTATGGCTGTCATTGGGACTGTATGGGTGTTTCTGCCGAAGCAGATGAGGGAGCGTATGGATGGCATTACATAGCATTATTGATAGCTAAGATCGAAGTACAAAAGTATAAGCATTACCCACAGATGAGGATGAGAGTAGCCAATGACATCCTCGATCAGGCGTTGCCCACACTTATCTTATCTTAGCTCCATCTCGAAGCTGGTGGGACTGTCCCCATGATGCCCTCCCTCGGTGCCTTCTTCACCGAGGATTGAATGGCACGTCATGGATTAACCAATCTCTGCTGCTTAATCTTCCCTGTTGAAACCATGCACTGCTGCTGGTGTCACCATAGTGTATGTGGCTGGCTGCATGGGTCAAGGAGCACCAAGTCCAGGCCTCAACCACCTCATCAGACATTGAGTAGTTCTGTGCCTTCTAGTAAGCAAACGTGAAACAACGAGACAAGGCTTGCCAAAAAGTATAAGCTAGCCTTTACTGAGAATGACGGACATCAATGCATCCAAGACGGTGATCGCGTATCTAGGGCCGCCCTCTTCCTACACTCATCAGGTACAACCTGCTACCTGTCCAGCAGCTCTACCAAAATAAGCTTACATCCAACAGGCAGCTGTTGATTCTTTCGAAAAGAATTACTACGAGCTTGAAGCTCAAGGATCTATAGCAGGTAATATACCCAATACAGATGGTCTTTCCTTAACTCATAAGCTGTCAGATGTCTTCCACGCCGTTCAAGATTCGTCTGCTACTTTCGGCGTTGTCCCATTCGAGAACTCGTCCAATGGCCCCGTCGTATTTACATTGGATCTCCTCATTGACCGCGCAGAAGAATTCCCTGAAATCCATGTCTGCGGCGAGGCCTACATGGATGTTCAGCATTGCCTTCTTGGCAGCGTCCCGACGAATCCCGCACATGAGAATAGAGATACACTGTCTCCTCACTCGTCAGGCTGCGCAACGCCTACGAGAACCAAGCCGAACCCTCGGGAGCCCCGTTCGAAGCCTATGACTAGTCTTAAACACATTCAACGTGTCTATAGTCATCCGCAAGCATTTGGCCAGTGTGAGGCGTTCTTATCTACCTATCTCAAAGGTGTTGAGCGCCGTGAGGTATCCTCCACTTCTCATGCTGCTTCAATAGTCGCAAAGGGCTCCGAGGAGGATTTACCGTCTGGCGGCGCAGCAGCCATCTCAAGTGCCCTCGCTGCCAATGTCCACGGCCTGAATGTCATGGCCACGGGCATCCAAGACGCCGAAGATAACTCCACCAGATTCCTCATCATACAGAAAGGTCCGGTCAACCTCGAATACCAAGGACTACTTCCCCCAAAGCTTTTTGCAGAGACCGGCACAGAGACCAAGCGTAAAGCGCTCATTGCATCCAGCATCAATCATGAGACGCAGGGAGCTTTGGCAAATGCTTTGCTGGTCTTCAGGAATCATGGGCTTAATGTTACAAGCATCAATAGCAGACCGAGTAGGATCCGGCCTTGGCACTATATCTTTTTGGTAGAAGTCGGAGGAAGGAAGGAACTGGAGGATCCAGATCTCGTTCGTATGGCGTTGGAGGAGTTGGATACCACTACGGAAGAAAATAAATGGCTTGGATGTTGGGTCGACAGATCAGCGCGGTGAGAGACTGAAGGACGATCTGAAGCCCGTAAGTGGGCTCTGGCGGGGAAGAGCGCCGTAAAGTAAGGATTCAAGGACCTGAAATCACGTCTTTCAACATAGCCTCGCATTCAATGGAAGCTTCGCTCCTAATATATGTTGCATCTCATTCATGGATACCTGACCCCCATGGATTGTACGGTTATCCATGGGGAGTATACGTCCCAACGGGGGTCGTATCGCCCATCTCATGTGCAAATATCCATCAATCGCATATACCTTTCCATGAACTCCGCCGTCGCCTATGGATCCCATGCTGTCACCATGGCAGTCCAGCACTACTTGAGGCTATATCTACTTGATCTCTTTCCTCTGTGTCTGTGACCTACCTAGTCAGCCTCTTTCGGCCTCTATCTGTGACCGAGCCATTAGTCCTCGGGCTGTACTGTGGCCGAGTTATTTCAGTGACCGAACGACCTCTTTCAGACTGTATCGTCATCAAGTTGAGACTGCAGATCCTGGCGGAATTATTCCAATAACCGAATGATTTCTCGGCCTCTACTTGTAACCGAGGTCAGGCCTTTCAACTGGGGGTTACAACAGTCCAAACATCTCGTCAATGGTCATAAGGACTCAACGGGATTATAGAGTCTATATCCAAGTGGATGAGGATACCAAGTGACAGCAACGTGATGCTGAAGGACGATAGGCCGACGGCAAGGGCAGTGATTTGGTTGATGAGGGGAGCAAGGGTGGTAGCACGGGAGGTAGCAAAGTGGGTAAAAAGAAGTCGATGAAGTAGCAATAGTAGCAATCGATTTTGTACCCCATGGACAAGATGTTTTAGTCTATCCATGGGTAACGGCGAGGTCCATGGGAAGGTACATGCGACTGATGGGTAGTTGCCCATGAGATGGGCGATACGCCCCCATGAGGAAGTGTACTCCCCATGGATAACCGTACTATCCATAGGTGAGACATATCATCCATGGAGAAGTATATACCACCAGTGACTGCAACATATAGGCACAACTTTGTTCTCAATTCGTACTGCTTTAGTGAAGTCCCGAGTATCGACCGATGTCTCCCCGAGTTTTAGCGTGTGCATAAAACATTGGGATTCTTGGCGCTGAGGAAATCGCACACACATCTATTAATTAATCTACCTTTCAGCTCTTATAGAACCACCACTATATAATTTAAGGATAGATTTTCTACATCAAAGGTACGCAGTTTTATCTATCTTGTTATTTATCATCGAAAATTAGACCTCTAAGTTTTAGATCTCTTTTAATCATTAGAGAGCTTAGTAAAGAATCTGAAAATAGCTGAGATTAAACGCTATTTAAGAACTTCTATCTGAAATAATTTATAGTATAGATAAATATAAGTCTTTTGAATATAGAGATTATATTATTAAAATACGTGGCTATATCTCTATGATGGCTTAAAGGCGGTTTAATAGACGTACATGCGATTTTCTTAGCGTCAAGTATTCCAAGATCTTGTGCGCACGCTAATTTTTGCCGGCTCTCTGTGCACGACGTCACCCGTCACCTAAGGCACTCTTCATTCTTTCCCAACCAACGCACAATGTCTAACCTTTGGTACCAAGCCGCCTTCATTCTTGGAATCATAATGCTACGGTTCTTGATACAATGGTACAACAATTCTCAGCCCAAGGTGGTAGCCCCTGGCAAGAAGTCAAAATGAAGCTCTGGGTGCATCGTCATTGCTTGGTTGGGAGGCAAACCTGAGGGGAGAGTGACAGACATGGGGGTCTTGTTTCAAAGGATCTGCGGTTAAGAGTCAGGAGAAAAGGATATTGGCCTGTGATGTTGCAGGGGGTCATGTTCAACATCCAGAGTGCTGCTTGGTGGTTATTCTCCGAGGAACCTTTATCGTTCAGGACAATGAATGGCGAACGCTGCAGGGAAATGCAAGGAGAGGATACCATGACTTGCAGAGGATGACTTCGTTTGGAGACACCAGCAGTATGGGCGACTGGCCAGGGGCAGCGTTGATGAGGCCAGAGCAGTGCGGAGAATACAGATGATGCATTCCCATGTGGGTTCAAGAAATGCCAGACCTGAGGCTGTAACGATGGCTTATGACAAGCTCAACGAGCATCACGCTGCCAATGATTCGGGGACTATCGATGTGGGCTAGGATGTTTGGATTGTGAAGAAGAGGGGCCACATGTTCTTGGTCTGGACCAGGCGCCTGGACAGGGTCTTCAAGCAAGGTTTCTGACAGTGGAAGATCAAGTCATTAAGTTGACCATACTGCCTGATTGTGCTGTATCAGTATGGGGAATGGCCAGTGCCAAAACCGGCTGTTTGTGTGTTGGGAAAGGGAATGTGGCCAAAACATGGGTGCCAACTTTGTGTGAATAACCTCAACACAAAGGATGAACCTTGGTATGGCCGTCAGTCTGTGTCATTTTGGTGCTGGCCACAACACTGTTTGTTCGGCATTGCACTGCAACTGATTCATTGCAAAGCTCTTTCTGGCTGAGCAAACCAGACCAGTAGTCACAGACTGTACATCTCTTCAGGGGTTATTAGTCGCTTTACCTACAAGATGCCCGCTGTTGTCAGTGCCACGGAGATTACGTTACTGGACCATCTATACAACACATACATACAATCCAAAGCCGGCACAACAGAAATTTTTGACTTGGCTTGTGGACAGAGCTGAAGCTTCTGGCCACCAGTTAGCATCCAAAGCAATATCACAGTGATATCACAGCGGGCAAAGGCCCCTCGCCTCAAGGGAAATGCCAGAAACATGCAGAAGATGGCAGCCGGGCCTACCCTTGAGAGGTATGCTTTGGTGACCGATGAAATTCTGCCGCTTGCAAAGAAGCTTGTGTCTAAGGGCAAAGCAAATGTGCAAATACCCCAAGCGGTATTACACCTGATTCAGAAGGTTATAGAAGCAAGACGGTGGTGCACAATCTTTGCAGATATTTTGCTGGCTAGTAGCTGAATCGGAATTGTGTACAATTTGTCGTCCCAATCTTGTGCCCATTGTTGGGGCACCTCACAATTGATACCCGAATTTCTCTACGATAGTCATAAGTATCATAAAGCTGGCACAACCAAGTTCCTGACATGGCTAGTGGAGAATGTTTTTTCAACCAGCTCGTCTTGCTGGGCAGCCAACCCCAGAAACACAACCTGATGAGCTGCGTCTGAAGGGAAAGGCAAGGCGAGCGGCCAAGGACCAGTTGAGTATGTGAACACACATTGTGGCGCTTACACATGGGCTTGGCTGACAATGATAAGGTGCGGTGCAGGTCCCTCGCTTAGCGCTCGGGACTCCTTAGAAAAGTATTGCCATAAGAAAAGAGTGTGCTGTCTGGTTTGAGGCGCAAGCAAAAGAAAACACGATGATGTGGCAAGGTGTCCAAACCCATTCTCACTTCGTCAGTGTGCTCGCCGGAACTCTAGAAATACTTACACCACACATCTCACCAACGAAGACAGGCCAGGCCGGACCCAACGACCCTGACAAAAACAAGAGCGCAAAGCCTACCTGGGTCCACAGCAACAGGTTCGCCAACCGCGAGATGGAAGACCTTGGAATACAAGAATCAACAAACGCCTTGGACAAGAAAGCCAAAACCCTCACTAACGCGCCAGCACTAGCTCAAGAATCCGGTAAAACCGTCTATGAAGTTAAAACCTCGAATGAAGACGTGATTTATGCGGTCTATTGCATGCTCGAGGATCAGGATCGGATTCAAGATAATATCTGCCAATTGTGGCAGGATTATTTCACAGGGCATGTCAGTCTGATCACCGCTTATGCCACCAGCAATACTGTTATAGAAGTGGTGTGACGGCTAGAGATGGAATTCTTCAATGCTCTTCCTGCCTTCTCTAATAGGGAAGAAGTCACGAAGACCCTACATCCTTCTCGTGCCCCTTCGGCCCTTCGGGCACACTAGATGCCGCCGATGATATTACCTCCACGCTCAATCTGCGACTCTTTCGCAGTCTCCTTTATCAATCTCTCCAATAGTGGTGCACCAAAGGATGCCATCCAAAGCGTGGTGTCTGAGACCCGCGACTCGACCGGTCAGAGCTCTTTGAGAATGAGGTAGCAAGGCGCAAACTTGTCCGTGAAGTCCTGATCGAGTACCTGCCACAGGTCTTCGGTCAACTACCGAAAGAAGGCGCCTTGACGATGGGTCTTCGCAATTTGTACGAAACTACAAAGGGGGAGGAGACGCCCCTGGAGCTTGGCGCAAGCTCCCAAAAAACCCAGATTGAAAGTGAAAGTAAGAAATTCAACTAAATCCTTCTCTGACTCCCAGAAACTCGTGCTATAGTATGCTTCAGTCCCATTGAGGCTTGCTATCCCTGGTGCAAGACGGCCCGACCACTCAACATACTATGTGTGCTCTACGTGTGTGTGACATGTGTTTTATTCCTGGATGGGACAATTTATGAACATAATGAACATGTATCGGGACTTCGCCGCTGTCATTCTCGCTAGAAAGCGTACGACTATCGTTTCCTGGCTAAACAACCTCCCGGGCTACTGTCACTTGACATAATCCGAACAGCAACACTGAGCTCATCAATCCTTCGGACCTGGCTTGACCCGTCATAGGGCGCGACAAAATTTCAGGGATCGACCGGGAGCCAGTCATCCCCCTTTCCGAAGTACTTTCTCACGGCTGGGAGGTATGGAGAATCGTTCGGACAGTACTTGAACCTGCCCATCTGCGATGGAAGTTTATCTTCGACCACAAAATCGCCGTATCGGTAGCATGAATGGTGGGTTCTTGCCCACGATTCCAATTTGCCCCAGTCTCTGCACTGGCGACTCTGGCCGATACCGTTCGCGGAAACCATGGATCGCGTCGTGTAGAGCGGCGTATCGTCAGCACGACACATGATATCGCCACGAAGCCAGTCTAAACAATGATTGGAGTGCTCGAAAGAATGACTCTGCGGAAGGCCGTCACGATATTCCCTAAGGGTGAGATGTAATTGCGCCTTTTGGTGAATTGTTAGTACTGAGCTATGCACGCGTGGATTGAGCGTACAAGGCAGTGAATCCCGTGGTATCCATTCAACAGATAAATTCGTTTGCTGCTGTCCCACGGAAAAACATTCTCACTTGGTGGCAGACCTTCCCTTGCCGCCCACTCTCGGTCCACGGCAACTATGCCGTCGTCTGCGCTAAGGGCTTTCCAACGCTCGTCTGTAAGAGTCATGTTGTCGCTCGAATACTCGGTTACTTCTTGCCACGTAAGAGTAGTATCGACTTCTAGGTTTGCTGACCAGGAGAGTCAGAACGACGAAATGTGAACGGACGGAATTGAGCAACGGACCATATCTTGATCGATCATGATAGGACACAGCCATAAATGGTGTATGGCGAGGAAAGAACAGGATGGCGTTCAAAAGCACAGACAGAGCCAAAAGAGCAGAAGAAATGAATGCGTATCGCTTGTAAAATAGTGGTTGATGTTGAGCTTTCTGTGCCAGACCGTGGTCTGATCCGGAGTACTCGTCTTCGCCTTCCAACAGACGACAATGATCTTCTTTGCAAGCCATCAAGGGAAGACAATGGAGAGTAAGATGATTGAAGAAGACGAGATTTACGGCATTGCTTTGTAAATCTGAATGAAAGGAGGCCCTTCGTCGAAGAGAGAAAATCGCATCCACTCCACTGTAACAGTCATACAAGGTGATCGGAGATGGACGACTCTATTTCTGTGTGGGATCGTCGGTCGATTTGCAAGGCGAATAGTTCGCTTCTGTTGCCCCTATCAATCGCAATTTATTGAAAGTCAGATGTGGAAGGCTGTGTTCCCCTTGCATGCTCGGTGCGCAGCTGACAAGTATCGGGTCTTGCTTTGCTACTGGATTTGATTCGATTTGATTTGCGCGGAAATTTCATCGGGGATGCCTTTTGTTTACATTGGCATATGATTGGCACAGGAGCACATGCATCAGATCAAGGCGACCGGTGAATTGTGGGGTCCGCATGCCTTCGTCCGTCCCACGAGGCCCACTTTTTCAAACGAAACGCTTATGCATGCCGTGCATTTAGGATGCAACCTCATCAATACACGTAAATTACAATTCATTTCATCGATTTGCGCTTCGGTCCTATGACGCCAGAGCACGCTCTAAGTCTTCAAACCGGGCAACTCACTTCCTTGACGGGAGGGATGAGAAATATCGCCTGCAGCACCAATCAGCTCTATTTTCCCTCCTTTGGCCTGCCTAGCAAAGCTGCTCTCTATATTCACTCCCTCCAATTCAGGTCTATCTCGACTGTTACACCACACGATGCCGCTCCAGCTCGCAGAAGTCACATCTGACTCTGATTTCGATATCATAATCCCCCTTCTGTGGCTCTCCTACGAGAGCCCTCGCATTCCATTCCTCCCTCTCCTTTTTCCAGTTGAGGACGAAAGCGCCGAGGCGCGTGAAAAAGCTGTTCAACGCACAAAGGAAATAATGATACACATGCATCATGCCGACCCCAGTAGCCATTGGTTTAAAGTGACGGATACCGACACAGACACAATAATTGCCGGAGCACGCTGGCACGTTCACGAAGTCGATCCGTATTCAAGCGCGCCCGAGAAACCATTTGTCGTCACCTCATGGCCGGAAGGAGACCGTCGAAAATTTGCAACCATGAACATAGGGCAGGTCATACTTCCTCGGATGAAGAGATACAGGAGACCCCACCTCAGTAAATGCACAACCTTCCACCTGCGAATAGTGGCTGACCTGGAGTCAAAGATCTCCAAGTATGTTTCACTCATCCTGATCACCGACGTCGTGGAGCTGGCGGTTTGATCATGAACTGGGGCGTCAGCAAAGCGGACGACCTAGGGGTGCAGTCCTTCATCGAAGCAACAGAGGTAGGAAAAGAGTTGTACGAGAAGTACGGATTCGTCTTGGTCAGTATTGACACCGTGGACACGAACATCCCGGATCCAAGTGAAGACTGGAAAGACATGGAGAGGCGGTTCAAGGCGAATCCATGGTGGGTTGGTTTTCGAGCCCAAAGGGATAACTGACGAGCACTGACCTTCTTCCATAGGTACTGCATGTGGAGACCTGTCAAAGGGAATTACGAAAAAGGGAAGACGAACCTTCCGTGGTAAAGGCAATGACGCTTGTAGTGTCTCTAAGCACGCGTTGAGCGATTTACGTGTATTCGAGCACGATTGCACAACAAACGTAACACGGTCTCTAGCGAAGATTTCGCCCCAATGAATGGAGCTCGTTCAAGATTTACCACATTCGTGACTGTCATCCTTGCCCAAGGCGTAAACAGTGAAGCCCCGCACGATTCCAACCTAACGTACAAGTGTAAGGAGCGAAAAGACGCCCACATCCTCCACCTCGCGACCTCTGCGCCAAACCCGTTCGCGATCCGCCCCGTGACACGGTCCGACACCCACCGCATCCTCAGGCGATACCATCTCGCGACGGTCGTGAGCGATTTCAGATCAAGACCCCGGGGTCAGCCGGGACCCCGTCCGTGTCGGAGTCCCGTCTGCCGAACCACCCCAACCCTTCCCCCCCGGGTCCGCCCGCCGCCCTTTCGATCCCCACCGACACATCCTCCGGTGTCGCGTCCGCGCGCGACACGGGCTCCGTTCGCCGGTCGGGGCCGTGCGGCCGGGCTCCGGCGGGGGCTCCGAGACCGAGGGCGGGGAGGGCAAGGGCGGCTCCGAGGACGTAGATGGCGAGGTGCATCTCGGACGGAGGCTGTCTTTGTTGCTGGTCTGTTTCGCTCACGATTGTTGAAAATGGGTGATTCGAGGATCGCGATACCGGTTCGCTGGACTTGGTGTGGGAAATGTGACGGGGTGTTCGGCGGGTGGAGGAGGAGGTGAGGTGAGGTGAGATGAGACGACTGCGTTTGGGCCTTTGTGAAATCCACGATCTCAGACCGTCCAGATGACTTTATATACACCCGTGTGCCCTGGCGATCCCCCGACCGAGATGCCGGAACCCACACAATTATGCAGGCGATGGCCGTTTGATTGGCTCAGAGAATGTCCATCATCCCCATCGAAGATCGTCGCCCGTGATGGGGGAGTGGAACCCCTGCTTACTCGGATGGGGGGTTTTGGGCACCGCGGCACGGCTTTGGGGAGGGATCAACGCGAGGGCTAAGGTAGGCGGGAGTGGGGTGGGTTGTTAGCTAAGGTGTCGCTGTGGTGGGAGTAGAGTTTCTTTCGTGTGCTGCTGACCGTTCGGAGCTGCCTCATGAGCCGGCCCCTAGCGTTAGCGTGGTCAAAGGGACTGCATCCCCACCTGATAGAGGACTAGATACCACAGATGATTAAACGTTAAATGGACGAAAGTCAATCCCCTTATTGTGGCGATTCTACCGGTGCTAGGGTTATGGAAATAGATTATCGATTTGTCGAGATACATACTGTAGGATATCAGTGATTGAAGATTGTTGAGAGCCACCAGGAGCGGCTTTTAGCTGTTGAACTACCGGGTTAATTGGCATATAAGATACTACCATATAGCCGAAGCGTCCATCTGATCATCGTTTGGAACCGTATTTTATATGTAAAGGGGCCTTATAACACTATGGTATCGTATGGCCTAAGACGCTAGTCAATAATCTTACTAAGCTCACTATCGCCAATTAGAGAGCTCGGAGAGACGCCCTTATTAGACGGGAAAATACCTCTGTACGGGGGATGGTACCTGATTTGGGGGCGTAGTGAACCGCAAATGGCCTGTACCTACTCCGACTACTCATTATTCTACTTGCCTTGCTACTGTGAGGGTTTACTTAATGGATACTCCTGGTTTTACCCTGGGGGCCTAGTACGATTAAGTACCATTACTCAGTAGGCTACTAGGACCCATATCTTACAGTCTAATTATGGCCTACGTCTGAAAACCGTTATTTTGAACGGTATCTTATATGCAAAGGGGCCTTATAACGATGTGGTCTTTTATATGACAATTAACCCGGTACGACTCTTTCATCTCTCATATCTGAAGGCAATATCATCTAATCCATAAAAACCCTTATGACAATACAACCGCAGTAACGAGAAGATCAACGTTCATATAATTAATTTTTGTATATATCTGTAATATTCAATAGGTACAATACTCTATCAGTTGGGGGTTGCGATATGAATGCCAAGAAGCCGCACTGCATCTTCGAGCACCGCTACTGTAACAGGAGCACTCTCATTCTTACCCGCAAGCCGTACCCGTTCCGGACTTAGCGCCGCACGCCCGCATATGCATATGCATGCACTCTGGACAGCCAGCATTGAAACGCGCCGATTGGCCTTCGGCACAGGCCGGGGGGTGGAAAAAACCCATCGGAATTCCTTACCGTAATGCGTGTATTTAAAGATAGGCTTCGTTCGTTACACCGAGCGAGGCTATCTTTGACCCGATCCAATCGTGACGATTCCTTATCATCCGAGGCCCGAGAGTCACATCAGCTGAACGGGGCGAAGAAGAAGATGACTCCTTCGTACCTAGGTATGTCAGACGCTGGGATTCCTTCTGCTGCCTCGGGGCGTGGTGCATGCGTGTCAACGTTTTGTGCCGTCGGGACACAGGACTGGTTCGATGACGCGGGATAGCCTCGACTTCGTTGAGAGGTGGACCTGCTGATCGAGAAAGGAGTGTAGGGTTTGCCCACTCCTGAGTGGCTGAGCTGCATTATCCAGAAAAACGAAGAGATAGCCTTGGAGCTCCGCACACTCTGTCTTAAGGAAGGCTTGGCTCATGATTGTCTTGTGAATCTACCTGGATTTTGGCTTTTGGTTTGGACCCCATACGCTTGGCCCGTATATCTACCTAAATGTGTCATTTCACTTTCGTCCTGCTGGCTTCTGATTTTCACCAACGGTGTTGCGGAGAACGCTCGCAGAACGCGAAATCATGTCCGCTGCCATCCCGTCAGACAGCTACGACAGCTACGGCCGAATCGTCAATGTGATCTCATGGATACTCTTGTGTGTAATGGTGCTTACGGTGGGAACTCGAGCTGCGACGAAGTGGACCTTGATCCGTCGGCTCGAAGGAGATGACGTTCTCGCCCTCATTGCTTTCGTGAGCCCTCTGCGGTTGGGAGGAAATCGGTCATTGTACTAAGCCAGCCCTCTAGACATTCAGTATCGGACAAACAGTGGCATTGTCAGAAGCGATTTCGAATGGGCTTGGAGAGCATCTTGGCGCACTCAGCCCGTCGCAAGTCAGAAATTTCCAGCAGGTATGTCATTTCAAAAGAGAATGCTGTGTGTTGCAGCTGATCCTAGCAGTCAGTCTACGCTGCAGATTTGTTGTACATCGTTGTCTTATGGTCGGCGAAAACGTCTGTACTCTTGCTGGTGAGGCAGATTACTCCAGTCGCATTGCACAAAAGGATTACACTTTACGTGGGTTGTGGACTGGCCTTGTGGGCAGCAGTTGCAATTCTCGCAGCGGCTGTGCAATGTCACACACCGCACGTGTGGCAGTTTCTTGACAATCAATGCTTCGATCGTGTGAGACCCATCTGTATGGTTATAGCTTTCTTCGTGCTGACAAGGACAAAGTATGCATTCTGGATTTACATTGGTATTTCCAGCATCGTCGGTGATACTGTTCTGATAATAATACCTATCGCCATTTTCTGGAACGTCCAGATCGACCGAAGGAGAAAGGCGACTGTATGCGGTTGCTTTGCTTCTCGGATTCTGTAAGCCTGCCGGATCCGCAAGACAAGCCTGTGCCGCCTAACCTCTTCATAGGGTGATCATAGCCACAGGACTACAGCTGGGCTTCAGCGGGCGAGCGCACGGCTCAACGGACCTAACACTCGATCTGTGGCCTCCCGCTCTATGTACTCAGTTCGTCCAGAATCTGAGCATCATGACGGCCTGCGTTCCGTACCTCAAGCCTTTCTACCTCGGACTTGAATCAGGTATGATTCGGACTGATGACCTTCGAAGGCACGGTCTGATCGGAACCTACGGATATGGAGATGACGAATCGGCAAAAGTCTCCAGCAGACGCGGTCCCCCGAACACTGTGGGTTCGGCAAAGAGTACGACTTCCCACGAACTCCGCAGTTTAGATGTCGAGACCGCGGCCAGAAGCGCTCAGCTCAACCCAAACAACCTGGTAGCCGTCGAAGCCAGCAATGGTGTCAAGGCCGCGGATTGGGACCAAGAAAGCCAGACCAGTCAGTCTAGGATCATCAAGCAGACCAGAACGTGGGGTGTCGATTTCGAGAGCCAAGACTCCAACCCCGAAGGGTTACCGGTGCCAGCCTGGACGCAAGGGACCTGGGGGAAATCTTCGTATCAAGCGTCGTAAGGCTTTTCACACTTGGGGGCCCACCTTACGGGGCAAAGATTAGAAGGGGGGGGCCCTGGTCATCAGTGGTCTTACCCCGCCAAAAGTGTATCAACCAGGCTGTGCAACTGTCACCGTTGACCCGGCAAGTCGTCCTTGGGGATTATGTAGATAAGATTTCCTGTAATGTTTTAAATACTTATCTAAAACTATAAAAAGGATTTGAGTTCGAGACGCGAGGCTGTATGTAGATCAGCCATGTCCCGGGCGATAGTTGCCATGTACTATAGGTAAGGTTTGGCATCCTCCAACCAAACCGTCCCAGTCCACCTCGTCCAGCACAGCATGCAGTACGGGACGAGGATGCGAAACTCTATTTAAGCGAACAAGACGCGCACTACTGCACCGTTACCGTGCCGATCGTCCTGACACCGTTCTTTTCAAGGTGCACCGGGGTTACATTGCATACATGCTGCACGCGACACTACACTACACTACACTACACGACACGGGGGCTGTCTGTTGGGAAATTCGCCGGGTCCGTCATCCCATGCCCCCCTTTTTCCTTTTTCCTTTTTCCACATCTTTGCTCCACCGACCGAGGCTGTGACCACGATCATCCATGCATGCACGCACGCACAGGAATGGCACGGAGCTGAAGGTGGTAGGATCATGTGGTGTGGCCGCTAGTGTGGGGGGGGGGATGTCAGACGTTGCGGACCGTCTTGGGGCTCGAAAGGGATTGGCTCCTCCTTCTCGGATCGATCCACGGTGCGCGATTGCGTCGCTCACCCACATGGCGGCGCTCCTTCGGCGATGTTTGCCTTTCCCGGTCGAATCGCGATGGCGCAACCTCGCTTTCGAACCGTTACAGGGCTCGTAGGGTTCTTGACGGATTCGGGAGCCCACGATCGTTGCACCTGTCCCGCCGCGACATTATACTACACCCCTTTTCCCCGATCCTTTTTTTTTTTTTCTTTCTTTCTTTTTTTCTTTCCAGCCGTGTTCTCCCTCTGCTTGGAAATTCTCGTTCGTTTTTCCATGCGATTGTGCGATTCGGTCTGGTTTGCGGAAAGATACCATGGCGAAAGACTCGCTGGAAACGTCCGACCAGTTCAAGATGGTGGAGATCCGAGACGATCGGCAAACTCGGCAGCAAAAGTCCGTCGAACAAGATCGCGAGGATCTAGCCCGCATGGGCAAAAAACAGGTGTTGAAAGTGCGTCCCAAGTGTCCGAGAGTGACGCATGTACATTCAAAGCTGAACCGCTGTAGAGGCAATTTGGCCTAATGTCCATGCTTGGCTTCGGCTGCATAGTACTGAGTACTTGGGAAGGCGTATTAGCGTGAGGCAAACCCCTGGTCGAACTCGACAGCCCAAGCTGAAAGACCATAGCTTGTTCGTTGTGGGATTTACCAAGTAAGAAGCGAAATCGAGCAACAGGAGACGGAGTGGACGCTGAGTACTTCCTTAGCGGAGGCCCAGCAGGGCTAGTATACGGATATCTTCTTACATGGATCGGCACGCTTTCAATATTCATCACCTTGTCAGAGCTGGCATCTATGTAAGTTTCAGATAGGAATGTGTGACGGCAGCATCGGTAGCTGACTGCCTCGAATCTTAGGGCGCCAACAAGTGGAGGTATGTGACTAATCACCCATCCCATATCTTGACAAAGGTGTTCGTCTTCGTCTCAAAAATGATCAAGCAAACGAAGAGCCAGACCAAGGATTCGGAGAAAGGTGCAAAGTGGGGTCCTGACTCAACCTAGGTCAATACTATTGGTGTGCAATGCTCGGACCTCCTCAATACGGCAAGGTTCTCAGCTATATCACCGGTGCGTCAGCGTTTCCGTTGTCTCAAATTTCTCGATGTCGTCTGTCTCCTAGTCTTCGCCAAGTCTTTATGGAAGGGAAGCGTTACAATACTGATAAATGACAGGCTGGTTGACTGTTTTCGGTTGGCAGGCTAGTGTCATCTCGGCTTCATACCTTACTGGAACAATGATCCAGGGGCTTCTCATTCTGAACTATGCAGATTATGACCCGAAGCCATGGCAAGCAATGCTTCTGATGTGGGCTTGTCTTCTGGTTGCCGTCCTCCTGAACACGCTTGTCAGCAACTTCTTGCCCAAGATCGAAGGCGCCATTCTCATATTTCATGTGGTTGGATTCTTTGCAATCTTGATTCCCTTGGTTTACCTTGCTCCGGGGCATGGACCGGCTTCTGAGGTTTTCACCACGTTTCTGAATGAAGGCGGCTGGGGTACTCAGGGGCTGTCATTCTGGCTTGGAGTCAGTAGCACAGTCTTTGCGTTCCTTGGTAAGTCCTGCTAAGTCACCTATCATCAAGGCTAATCATGGCCCAGGTGCGGATAGTGTTGTCCACGTAGGTTTTGTAACCCTTTTTGGTATCGACTCTATTGATCGAAGCCATAGATGTCCGAAGAAATTCAAGGCGCATCTGTCAACGTGCCACGGGCGATCATTGGAAGTATCGCTATCAATGGCGCCCTTGGCTTCGGTATGCTCCTAGCTGTGCTGTTTACCCTCGGAGATGTGAAGGCTGTCCTTGGAACGGATTATATCTATCCCTTCATTCAGATTTTCCTCCAGAGCAATAACTCGTCCGGCGGAACTACGGCCATGACGGCAGTTATTCTCGCATTGACTTTCCTCTCGACCATTGGACTCGTAGCAACCTCATCGCGAATGACGTGGTCCTTTGCGCGAGACCGCGGCCTTCCTGGGTGGAGATATCTTAGCAAGGTAAGCTGGTCGACGAGATGTCTCCAAACAGTCTCAGATCTCAAAGAGCTGACTTTCGATTTTGATCAATTCCAAAACTTCCATACCAGTCGTTGCAATCCTTGTAACAACATTCATCTCCGTCCTCTTGGACCTGATCGAACTTGGATCTGCTACCGTCTTGAACATCCTCATTTCTCTTGCTATCAACAGTTTCTACGCCTCTTACCTTATATCGGCGGCGCTACTCCTTTGGCGCCGTTGCAGTGGGCATGTGAAAGCTCATGGCGCTGCCCAGAATCCACTGCCGAGCACCGAGGGTTCCCCGGAGCTGGCGTGGGGGCCATGGAGGGTTCCGGGGTTTCTGGGAGTCGTCAACAATGCTTATGCATGCATCTGGATGGTGATAATACTGTTCTTCAGCAGTTGGCCCAAGACAACCCCCACAACCGCCTCGACTATGAATTATAGCATTTTCATCACGCTTTTCGTGGCCATCGTCAGCGGGGTATATTATGTTGTGTGGGGAAGGAAGACGTATACAGGCCCGGTGGTCGAACTGGCCTTGCCAAAATAGATCCCATGTGTCATAGATGTCTTAGACCATTTGACATTCGGAAAGGAAATGTGCTCAGCGAAGTATACGCATAAAGAATGTATATACATCTCCGTCAAGAGCCGGAAAATCTCTCGCGTCAAAAGCGTCAAAGACCTGGAAGAAATAAATTCCACTCCAAGGACCGAAGCTAAACTTCCCGCCACTTAAAATCAGATATTTGCTACCACCTACCCTGGAAATAAAAGAGAGAGAAATTGAGGTTGACGATAGTAACATACCTACTGGTAACGATACACCGCAAAAAATCGGCGACGGCGCTAACGATATCGTGATGAACGTAAAGACTGTCATTCACATGCAGATGGGTTGATGATCGATTCCACAGATATTCGTGATTGCGCGAATACTTACGGTGGACGTTGATTGTAAACAGATAGAATAGGAGAGGGGAGAGAGGATGATCACTCCTACGAATCTTCTTAAAAAGGCGGAAGATCGTGGCATAGCGCTCTCTTTTACACCCGAGGTGGCAGCTACATGGAAGGTCACGTAGACAACTGATGCCGTGCGAGAGACCGCGCTTCTAGGTATCGGATCTGGGAGGTTAGTGGGCAAGATGGATGAGACGAGTGAGGGTAGAGTAGATTGGGCGCTAAAGCGGCAGCCTCGGGTGACCCTGAACATACTTAAGTAGCCGACCTCCAAGCCAATTACCAATATCTCCCAACAATCGACACCGATCCCTCCCAGTCATCGCCACCGCGACAAGACCGCGAACGGGGCGTAAAACATCCCCAACCGGATTGACCACCGGGAAAGCGCGACAATGGACCAACGCCAAGCGCAAGTCGACATCGACAGACTCTCCGACCGCGACAAGCGCGACCTGCAGCAATCCATCAACAACGAGATGCAAAAAGCCAAGATCCAAGAATGTGCGGCCCGCCAGTCTCCCCCTCCTTCCCCCCACTCACTCGCGCGTCTTTGACCTTCCCCCCCCATTCCCCTTCTGCCTCCTCCGCCCACCGCCCCCCTGCCCAAAAGCGCTGACGAACGACCCGTCCAGCCGTGCACGAACTCACCGACATCTGCTGGACGAAGTGCGTCACGGGGGCCATCTCGTCGAGCGGGCTGGACCGGAAGGAGGAGCCCTGCGTGCGGAATTGCGTGGAGAGGTTCTTGGACGCGAATGAGGCTGTGCTGAAGCATTTGAGCGTTATGCGAGGGCAGGGGGGGGTGTGAGGAGGGGGGGTGGACGGTGGGCAGTTGGTTGGACCTCTGTGGATTTCTACGAGTTGGGGATCGGTGATCGGGGCGGGATATACGGAAGGATGAGTGGGGATAGAGGTGGTATGGATGGATTTTTTGTACGATGGGCGTTGCAATCTCCGATCTGTACGGGGCGTTGGGGAGCATGGGAGAGTCTCCTCTTCTTCGTGAAGTATCAAATGGGCTGGTATCAATCATGGTGGATCTGGAGAAGTCGAGACCGGGCGAATCGTGAAAAGCTGTGGGATGTTTCGACTGCATGAGCCTAGCTAACTCCGTCGTCTTTGCCACATCACTTCCGAGGTCTAGACAATGTTGAGCTTCGTCGCCGCAATATCCAGAGCATCCACATCCGGTGTCAACCTCGCATAGGCCTTCTTCGATCCATCAGGCCTGTATTATGTTATTAGCTAATCTCTTCTCTCTGCCATAACCTTCTGTTCCTCCAGACATACCTGACCAATGTATTAATCTTCACGCAATCCACATCATACAGCTTCTTCAAAGCCTCCTTGATCTGCCTCTTGTTCGCCTTGACATCGCAAATAAACACCAGCGTATTGTTCTCCTCGATTTTCTTCATCGCGCTTTCGGTATTCAGAGGGTTGATGATGACTTTGTGGTGATCCAAGCGAGCCTCATGCGGGACGGATTTGCGCGGGTATTTGGGCGAGCGGGAGAGTTGGAGCGTCTTGGGTCGGTGGAAGGAGGTTGTGAGGCGGACTTTGCGGGCTTTCTTCGAGTGGGCCTGGAAATGTAGGGATTAGAGGAGTGTAGAGGAGGTTGGGGGGGGGTGGGCGTACGCCTTTCAGGGCAGATTTCGCGGCCAGACTGGCTTTGGCATTGTGCTTGCCGCCGATGGGCGCTGTAGATGATCGAGTCAGCATATGCACTTATGGTCCCGTACTTCGTCCAGATGTCCAGAGTCGAAAGCTCGCAGGAGCTTCGTGCTGCTGGCATGTTCCCACTTGCTCCCAACGAAAAGCGGTAACAGTAGGCATCTTCTGAGTATCTGTGTGATACAGGAACGGAGGGATGTACTGACCCTTCTTGCTGGCTGCTTTTGGCGCCATTACTGTTATTGTGATGTGTCGGCGTCCCGTTTTCAATACAAGTATGAGTTCAGGAAATTCAAAGCCAAGCCTTCTTTGTGGGCTGCGCTAGCGAAGCGCTAGAGCCGAGGTTTCGTCGCTAAAATCTACCGCTGTTACGGATGGAGTACTCTACAGAATGCTTTTCGTGAAAAGATATTATAAATGTCTGATGATAGGGCTCATGTGGCAAAAGAAGAACTGTTACGCCTCGAAGACGATGGAATTTTTGACGCTACGCAAACGTTATACTTCGTCATGCTACAATGCTCTCTCAGCAATCAGCGATGCTTTAGAGCGGTACTGGGATAAATCAAATTTGAAGAGATGTGGAGTTCTCGGCAATCCACAATACGAGATTCTCCTTTGGCAACCTTGATACCTTGAGCCCTGGAAACCAAGGGAGTGGTGGGACCAAAGCTCTGATAAATGGAAATGACGGCCGTGCCCTTTGGTTGTTGCTATGGGCCACTATATTCTTTCCTGGGTTGGAAGGAACGGTAAGAACAATCCAGGATGGAGGGAGACTTCACCTATGTGAAGAGCAACCGTAGAAGATGGTGTCCAGTATGCTAGTCTTGATCTTCGAGTGGTCGGGCCAAGGCTTTTTCAGAAGCCGCGGTCAACGTTTCTTCGAAACCATTGATACATATGTGGAAATCCGCCGGATGGTACAAAGATCGCATTCAATCTGAGGAAGAGAACCCTCTTCCCTTGATATCTACAAACGATCTTTTACTCATCACTGCTAAGTTATCAGTGGCTCTTCCTCGTACCAGCCCCGTTGATGAGGGACAACAAAAATTGGCATTTTCCTTGAGGTTCCCTCCGAATGATCGAGGTCAGATCCATAGGCTGGCAAAGAAGAGCACCGAGGACATTCAGACGTTGTCGGAGAATTCACTACTAGAATTCTTCGCTTTCGCTCGCCTTGGAAAGCTGTAATACTCGGCTGCTGGCGGTCAGTACTAATTAGGGGATCAATTGACCGTCAACGACGGTGTCGGTCTTAGCGTACTCTGACTCGCTTCTTATCGCTTTCAATTGGCTGGGTCTAGCGAGACGCCTATGAGGCTTGGCTTGATATGGCAGGTAGGCATTGAACGTATGAAAATCTTGCCGTTTCAGCTGAAGGGATTCGATCACGAGATGCATATATGCTGCATATCTATTGGCGCTCCAGTGCCATGGCATTTTTTCAGGATGCGTGCTTTTTATCCGGCTCCATGCTTCACATCCCCTGCCGTACTATTGCTACCAATTGAAGTTATAAAATGGATCCCCCTTTCCACCTTTTGTGTCCAGATTTGAATCCTCGAGTCAAAGGCCGACATCCCAGCTCTCGCTCAATCTTCCCCTGAAAGACATAATGAAATTCCAAGCCACCATCTTCACCTTCCTCACAGGCATACTCGCCGTCGCGGCGAGTCCCGCCGCAGCTCCTGTCCCATATTTCTGCCCTGGCGCCCCCGATCAGTGTTGGTCTTCTCTAGTTTCGTCTCCCCGGTTTGACCAGTCCCGTTCTGAGACAGACATTTCAACCATGTACAGGCGTCTGCGATTTAGCAGGCTACACTCCGACGGCCGGGTACGCACAGACATGCAGCAAGGCCGACTGCGCTAGCGGCTATGAGTGCTACACCCTTGTGCGATGTCCCGTGAGCTGCTCCCTCCGCGGTTCCCTTTTTTCCATTATAGCTGATGTGTCTGCTTGTATGGCAGTATGGGAGGGGCGGGATTCCACCAGTAAGTTCTTCAGGCAGTATCTGACTTGTATCCCACGAGCTGACGATCTTTTCCAAGGAGAACGGGTGCTAGGCTTCTTGACAGGCAATCTCAGGAGATCGAGGCTTCGGGGCAGGGAAGACACGGGTGAAGACTTGGACAGATTGGGTGGAACAAAGTAGTTGCCTGTGAGACTATTCAGATAATCGAATTTTACTCTTCTTCGCCCACCTCGCAAGAATATGTAATATCTGGGCCCTGGAAGATTTAGCCTACAAGCAACTACGTACATTTAGATAAAACTTAAATTGGAGCATTGTTTTTGATTGACAATATTCGAGGAGACGAAGTACTTGTTTGACTAAAACGACAAAAGAGAATACGAGCTTTGCAACTAACATCGTGCATGATGTCAGGGGACGCTGATACATTTCCTGAGAATCAAGGCGCTTTTCAAGGGAGCGAGATTGGACATTTGGGGGGTCTTTAAATCTGACTACTCTGTAGAAATCCTATGTTTTAAGCGTGTGAAGGATTTTATGACAAGAAGATAACTTATATGGAATAGCTACATGGTTCCAGCCAACACCCTGCTGATTGCTACGCTCCTAAAAATGACCCACCGTCTTGTGCCCCCAATGGAAGGGTTTGGAGTGGAACAAATGTCGCCATTCAAATCCAATAGAGGTGTGTGTGTGTGTCACGTGTGCGGATCATCTAATTTCCACTGCTGCAGCCTGCAGCCATCAAAAGAAACAAAAGCAAAATTGCTGCTTTTTGACAGGAGGCTAGGAGATGTCACCATGATGTGGCTTGTCATTCCACGCTTCTTTAAGTTAATCCAAGGTCTTCAGGTACACGTTACCACGTAGGGTCAGTTTTGACGCTTCTGCAAGGTACCGATGCCAACATTGGCAACCCTGTTCAACCCTTCCGCGGCACGATTGGTCGATAGATGATGTTCGCAGATCAACCAGATCAACCAGATCAACCACGGGGCCGAAAATATCCTGACTTGGGTTAAACATCCTTCCCTTAAGCATCCTAAGCTTTAAGCAGCGTGAAAGTTCAAAGCCCACCACCACCTCCGACCACCAGTGACCAACACCACGCCAACCTGATATCATTGCCTCTACAGTCTAGACACCTTAGAGTCTAGACAGCCAAACATGAAGCCAAAAATCACAGAAGGGTGTGAAGGGAACTTGCGTGATCGCGTACCTGATCACGACGGCGCCAGCTTCTCAAGCCCATAAGAACTCCCTGCCCTCCATCAGCACCTCTTTCTCTGCTCCATCCATCTTCTTGATTACAAACACCCCGGTCTTCTCCGATTACACTCGTTTACTTACTATAAAATAATACCCTTCCCCATTCTAATAACAACTATACCTTCTATCCCATCAAAACTACCACTACCACACCGAAGTCCGTATTTTACCAACATCAACCATCAAAAATGCGTTATTCAATTCTCGCCGCTCCCATTGCCCTAGCCGCCAGTGTGTCTGCTGCCACTAGTGTGTCTGCTGGACAATATGCCACCTCGTATACCACCCAGGTTGTCAGCACTTTGACCACATATTGTTCATCGGCGACCTCCCTGTCTATCAATGGCAAGATCATCACTGTCACTGGGGTAAGCTACGCACGCTTCGCAGCATTGCAGTAACCGGTCCATGTGTGTGGACATTGGCTGACAAGTTCCCCTGCAGGCGACAACTTTGACAATCACCGAGTACGTATTTTTCCTTTTCATATTTCTTTATTCTCGAAACATGTTTCCGAGCTCCATCTACACCCTCAGGTAGGCAATACTGACTGCGAGATTGTAATCCAGCTGCCCTTGCACCCTGACGCAACAACTCGTTACAACGAGCCCCACCCCAGTCGCTGTCTCCTCCACCAAGTTTGTCTCCTCAGTCCCAGTCGTCGTCCCCTCGACCAAGGTTATCTCCTCGGTCCCAGTCGTTGTTTCCTCGACCAAGGTTGTTTCCTCGGTTCCAGTCGTCGTCTCCTCGACCAAGGTTGTCTCCTCCGTCCCTGTCGTCGTGGCAATCTCTTCGACCCCGGCCGTCAGACTCACCACCGCCTCAGCACCATTCCCAGCCTCTAACAGCACCACCCTGCGTGCCAGTACTGCTTCAGCCGGCACCACCTCTCGATCTGTATCCTCTACAGCGGCGACGCCGACGACGACGACCTTCAAGGGTGCCGCTAACAAAGTGGGCGCTTCCAGCGTCAGCTTTGTCGCTCTGCTCGGTCTCGCTGCTTACCTCCTGTAGGTGATGTTGTGCTAGCCTTGTGGCATACGCTTTAGAGGGTCTTGCTTGCTTGCCTGCGCATGGGACGTGTGCGCACGAGGTGGTACTTCCACCTTTTGTGTTTCGATAATTCAAACATGGCGCATTAGTCGCGGTATTTGGACTTTGGTTTTAGTTTCAATATTCTTTTCACGGTGATGTGGATATGAAGGGGTTTTTGGTGGGGGCGGGGGGGTGTATGTAGAGAGAGAAAACGGGGATGGAGAGGATGAGTGGTGTCCCTGAAGCGTCTTGTTGCGTAGCTAAAGTTCTGAACAGCATCACATAGGAAATCAAAAATGGACACGATCACCGCCGTCAGCATTTGCTTTCATTTTTTCATTTGCTCCAGCACCAATGTTCTCTCCGAAGAACTCCCGAATTTCAGGGGGCCATACTTGTAACCTCACCCCAAAAATGAGATCGCGGCCCTTACAATAAGAACGAAAAGGGCCTGTCAGGCTGTCGCATACGTGTTGTTGTGAGGTAATTGCACCGCTGGAATATGATGCATGTGGGGCATGTGGAGCATCGGCAAATGGCTCCAGAAACAACATTCCAACACTCCTTGATTTACCGTTTTCATTGGCAAGTTGTTATCGAAGCTAGTGAAGCTATGGGGCCGACTTCCACTCCCTAATCTTGTAGGCATCTAGAAGTATATGCTCAGTATATACGCCCGGGGAAAAGATGTAGCGAGATGAACTGTGTTCACGCTAAGAGTTTTGATCACTTTTAACCCGACATCGAGCCCGCTCGCTAAAAGCGGCAGCTCTAGCCTAGGAGAGCTCTTTCTTTACCCGCCAAGCTTTCTTAAATCCTGGATTCCTGGTCCACAATTCGTTGTCCTTCCATTATCATGGCATGAACAACAAGCGAAAGTCGGCTTAGCTGGCTACGACCTCCTTCAATAGTAGGTATTTACTGAATGGCAGCCAAGAAACAGCGCCGTCCGCAACTCCTCTCCTCTACCCGTCCTCGCAATATCAAGCCAACGCTCTCCCTCTCCTCTCGCACGACACGCTCTCTAATTCGCTCTCATCATACTCTGCGCAAACAAGTTTCTGCCGCTCTTGCCAAAGGCGACACTAGCGAGGCTCAAGCTATTCAAGCGAAGATCGATGCATCCGGCGGCCTGCCCAAGTACCAGGAAGCCAGTAAACAAGGGCAGTCGGCGCAGAGGGGCGGTGATACGAGCAAGATCCTGACGGAATGGCTGACAATGGGAGAGGGAGAGGACAAAATATCAGTGGAAAGCGGGAAGCGGTTAAGAATGCTTGAGGTTGGCGCGCTAAGACCAGATAATGCTTGCTCGCGGAGTGGGCTCTTTGATATGGAGAGGATCGATCTACATTCTCAGCATCCTGATATCAAACAGCAGGACTTCATAGAGAGGCCTACCTGCGCAGCTGGAGACTTAGATCAAGAAGGCTTCGATATTGTGAGCTTAAGCTTGGTAGTCAATTTTGTCGGCGATCCGGTGGAAAGAGGAGAAATGCTAAGGCGGGTTGCGAGCTTTCTCAGACCCTACTCAGGTCGCAAAGTGGGGCTTTTCCCGGGGCTCTTCCTGGTGCTGCCTGCGCCCTGTGTGGCCAACTCTAGATACCTGGATGAGGAGAGGCTGAATGCAATCATGGAAAGCTTGGGTTACAAAAGAGCAAAGCGAAAGTTGAGTGCGAAATTGGTCTACTACCTCTGGAAGTATGAGGCAGGAAAGGCTGAGGGATCGAAAGTATTTAAGAAGGAGGAGATCAGATCCGGAAAGTCAAGGAACAATTTTGCAATTGTGCTGCGTTGAAGTCAGACATGCGGGGGCGTGTTGGCCGGACCATCTTCAATTCCTTACTTGTCGTGCTCCGAAAAATCACTCGAAGGCATTGGACGAGAATCATTAGAAGGTTCGTTGCACATCAATTACTTGCATTCTGTTCACTGCAGCAACGACTCCCTCAATCTTTGATCTCCTGCTTGTGAAATATACCCGGTACTTCTGGCATCCACTTCTCGCGCCTCTTGCACCAGAATTCGCCTTTTGGCGGCAAATCGCCAGGGTGATCCAGCGTCCCTGTCATGATATATCGAAAGTCCTTCATTGCCGCTGCACCGACCTCCAAGATCCCGCTTCCGCATGTCGGGCAGAACTCTCGGTGCAGAGTTGTGCCACTCCCATTATCTGCTTCGTGTATTGTAGGCTTTTTAGACTCGGAAGTATAAGAAAAGGAGGAGACTGGGACTTTTGTTGTCAATCCGAATGCTGTTCCAAAGAATTTCTGGCGAGTTGTTAGCATTGGAGCACCCCAGACACTTCGTGCAAGCGGCTACATACCTTGCAGTTCTTGCAGTGGCAGAGAGAAGTGCGAGCATCGTCCGGTGACACGTCAATGGTGTACTTGACCTCACCGCAGTAGCAGCCCCCCTTGTAAATGGGCATTGCAAATGCTGAGCTAGTTGAAATCGGGCGGTTGCTTGCTGAATCAATGGATGGGCGTAGGAACTTTGCCGAGGTCGCTGCTGGCCGCAGTATTCTGTGCATTTGTCTGTTCAATTCATTGGGAACCTGGATACGTCAGTATGCCATCATGTTCGCGCCAATAGCGGCGCTTGTTGCGTCTAAACTACAGGGTTTAAACCCTCAGCTTCAAGATCCCTCGAGTAATTTCTTGAGCTTTTCATCTTACCATGGAGTGGACTGCAATGAATGCGCTCCGTACTTTCATATAGCCGTGCCTGTATGCTTCTTGGCGGTGTAGCAGATGGGAATGGTGGAGTTCTTTCTCGAGCAGTCTCAGTCTTATGAACCAGCTTTCTATCAACCGAGAGCGTGCAAGATGCCTTAGGTCTGTTGGAAGGACGTCATTTTCAGCAGCGATGCTAAATCTATTGACCCCGTCGCGTCAATATTGGCGCCTGTCCGGTTGTTGCGAGGCACTTTCCCCGTTCGCTTTTCTCCTAACCCAGACTATCGCATGTCGCAAATACCATTAGACCAAAGCATGCTAAGCCCCAAGCATGGAATGCTTTTCCCTTCACTGTACCGCTTGTTTTCCTTACCATCTAGCCACCTTCAACACACGGCTGGTTCTTCTCAAGCCCTTTTGAGGCGTCATGCTTTCTTTCTTCTTGTCATGCCTTTTTGGCTTTAGCGTGGTCAACTCAACTGTCATTACTCTGCCAGGTCATCTGCGAAACGGGACAGTGCTTCTTGATCTTTCTCAGAAAAACTCAACTGTGATTGGAGCTGAGCTCGGTCCCACAAATCATGCAAGTTCGCTAGGGGATCCCATTGACACACACTTTAAGACCATAATCCAAGTGTATCCAGAGGTCGGAGTCTCCGGCAAGTCGACGTACATGAATATCTTGAAGGCCATGATAAAGTTGTCCTACAGCGAAGGCACACATGCATATGCTGGGGAAACGTTTTCGTTCGACCTCTATACAAATGTCAAAATCCGGATCACGCGCGTTACTTCCTCCAGCTCAGCCTTGCAATACCGATATGCCATATGGGGATTATTCAAGGCGGCCCAATACCTGACTGAGAACAACATCATTGCATGCGTTATCGTGAATCTGTTCTGGTCTGGAGGCGGTGCACCGGCCTTGGTAGGAGTCATAGAGATCTTTCCAGATCCTCTGCCAGGCAATGCTGAAAGCAACGAAATCCAACGTCTTATGGGAATCGGTCAAGGAGCAGAACCCCCGCCCACGTCGCTTGGTCTGGCCAACCTCACCTCCATTTTTAGCAATGAGTCCGGCCTCGCAACATCCGCTAATGCTGGAAAACTCTCAGTGTTCTTCGAATTTCAAGGGCCAACTTTGTCCGTCTCAGAGGTCTTCATGACGCTGTTCCTTACGTTATTAGAGATAGCATCGTTCGGAACAACGCACCTTGTGCACGATTTGAAGGTCCAAGATTTGATTACCAAAACGGAACTTGTATACGAACATTATGGTGCACCACGGACATCTCCACCGTTCTTCGTTTATCATGTGGCCGCGCGTGCTCTGGGATTCGTTCCTAAGTATATGTTTGAACAACATAGGTTTGAAGCAGTCACCTTTGTGTTGGAAGTGGACGGCACGCCAGTGGGAACAGGGTTCCTGCGGAAGTTTTCGAGTACCTCTTCTATATCGTCGTAGAATTTTGAAGCGAAGAAGGTCCGTTCGTCTCGTCGTTCCAGCTGTGACCTACGATGAAGACCGAGAAAGTTCAGGAGCGCAACGCGAAATGAAACGGGCATGTCAGACAACCGTCGAGAATATCGAAATTTTCAACACAATCAGAGCTGAGCATTGCCACTCTTGAAATCCGTATTTGTATTTCATCCCATCTCTCTCTATACATAAAATCAAAAGAAGCATTTACCATCGTGCCTCCCCTCAATACATCTCGCTTCGCGTGTTGAGACAGGTTGCAAGTCTTCAACATCGCCAATTTGAAAATCGTGTTTTCATACGACACATTTGGCTCGGAGCTTCGTGTCAGATCTACCGTAAACCTCGAATGCTTCTTCAATACATCTTCCCTGGGAGGTAATCAAGGGGAAATCAAAGCTAAGACAAATTGTGATCCCGCAAACCTTCAGTCTTCTTCAACACATTTTCCATCGATCTCCTCAGGCGCCGATTCCAATCGAGGTTCTCAACATAGCAAGCATTCAACTTCCTATCAACACATTCCTGAGATCTCCTTGCAAAGCGATCCTGTGTTGGAAGCGAGAAACCAATCCCGCTCCGAACGGCGGGCTACCTATCCCCGGAGTTATCTCGGTAGGAACCAAATTCCGAGGCAGGAGATGATAATTGGAGGACGCAGCCACCACTGAGCCGCATTTCATGTGACTTGGGAAATTTCGATCTGTCCCACAGTCATGGCAAAAATCCTACACCTAGCAACCGAGCTTATAGTCGCCATAACCTCCAACATTCCCAGATCATCCGATGAACCACACGTCGTACTGGTCAATCGCAAAATGCACCATATGATCGCCCAGGAACTGTATAAACACATCGTGCTGGGTCAGAGTGGAGACCCCTCAAACAGAGGCGGCTCTAAATGGATACATGAAGATCCATGCTGGGATACAGTCCGCCTCCTTCGCTTTTCCGGTATGCCGAAGACCACGCCTTGGTCTCACAAGCCGGTGGTTGTGGCTCTTGATCTCGGGCTAGATTCAAACACCTTGCACGAATCCTTGGGATGCTCAGCCCTGATGCTGCACCTCCCTAGCTTGAAGAGGCTTTGTCTCAGCAGCAAGAGACCTGCTGGACGCGAACCGGGGCAAACACACACTCTTTTCTGTCACCTTCCGAGACAGGACGAAGACCGCAGGGTGTGTGAGCGTAACACTCGAGAGCCTCGTCATCGACACCGATCAAAGCGGAGACCGTCGTGACGGCAGCGGTGTTCAAACCTTACGTCCCTTTATCGCTTTGAAGCGCCTCAGTGTTCAGAGCCATATCTTGTTTGGCGACCGTGGTGACCCTCTGTTCATGACCCAAGATGATGGCAACGACGTTGGACTGGACATGATACTATTGACCAAATTCCTGCCCATGGGATTGCAGCAACTTCAGACGACCTGTTGGACAGATCGACAGGAAGACTGGGAGCCACAGTGGGGGTCCTTGATTGCTCTCCCGCTCGAGAAGCTAATGCAAGCTGGTCTTTGCGCTTTGCCGGAGCGGCATCACATCACAGTGGATCATCCAGCCAGGGACCAAGGGTTTCGTGGCATGGCGTATAATACAATATAGCCTTGGTGTATCATTGGGAAGACGACAAGCCAGAACGGACAAGTTACTCAAATAGACAGAGAAATTTAAGTCTTGGATATACTAAACAAACAGATTGTGAGATATGCTTCTGACGCAATAACATCAGTGTCGAGGACCTGCGATTGTTGGTGTTGTCCGGATCAGGCCATCGCGTTAGAAGAGCAGTGCACATTCGATAGGGTTTTTGGGGGTGTTGAGAGGTCATCGTGGACCATGCATGGCGCAAATGTTCAATCAAGGGAAGATTGCAAGAGGACTGTTTTACACACTATCAATGCTACGTGGGGGTGTCCCTCGGGTACGACAACGTATGCGCCGTGTTCGAATCCGTAACACCTTTCCTACTAACAACGGGTTCTACTTGTTATCACTGTTTTTGCCTGACCATAACTCTTAGGACCTTGAGCTAGCTCGTATAGATGATGCCCTCAGTCGCATGATTCCATCCACTGCTTTACGTACTCACTGGGACCGCAGAAATTGGACAACCAAAAGAGCACTCTGAGGAATATGATGCGCCGATTCACTCCCCTGCATGCCGTCTCAACGTCCCAGCATTTAACGCCAGGCGTCATCACACCGCGCATGTGAAGCTCGTATATCCAATCCGGCGATCCGAAACCTTCGCGTCCATCTTGATGCCCCGCTGATATAATCCTGCAGTAGAACAGTCGAATCGATCCACCATCTTCTGCACCCGTTCCTCGGCGCTAAGCTCAGTTGTCCGCTTGGAGTACAGCCACAGTGTGACACTTCGTAAGTGCCGCGGGGTGCTCATTTCCTCTGCCATCAGATCCACGAGTAGTTGGGCAACATGTTCGCATCGTGTGATGAGTCGCTGTGACCATGGAAAAAGGACCGAACTCAAATACTCGAAATCATCATGACAACACACGTCCAGCTGCTGCAAGCATACCGGCAGCGACCCTCCCGTCATTTTCAGTGAGAGTCCATCCAAAAATCACTGACCCAGCAGCGGCTTTGCATGCACGGGTGTTTGAGTGTGGTGAAATGGCCGAGACAGTTCACTATTGCGGCGACAAGAGAACGGCCAGTCGCTACTGCTGAGATCGAGGCTTTCCAGCGTTTCGCTCACACGATCGAGTGACCATACTACCGCGTACGGCAACGCTGAACCTGGTCTGGTAGACGATACCCCGAGAGGACGGAATCGCCTCAGAGATGTCATCCGGGTAAGTGATGTAGCGAAGTCGCGCATTCCGACTATGCCGACAAAATCAAGGCCCATCTCGAAGGTGCGGATCACGGAGCGAAGATCGGATTTGGCGGCCAATGTGGCAGGAAGTCGCGTGATGTTCGAGCGTCGAACCTCATGACCATTTTCAAAAGGAATTTGAACCGGGTAGTCGTGCGGGTGGAGGACGATGTGCTCGTACAGAAGCGCTTTGATCAAGCGATTGAGTCTGACGGTCGAGAAGGACGAGTTTTAGGCTGTGAGCGGGTTTGCGGATGTGAGAGCCGATGGCGATGATGAGCTCGTTTGAAAGATCTGTGAAGCTTGCCATGGCTGCGAGGGCGATCCTGAGAGGCTGGCGGAGGGGGTGTGACAGGTGGGAGGTTGATGGTGGAAGGTTAGGAGTCCATTATTAGAAGGTAATCAGTGTGTCGACAGGTGGTCTATGTATCGAGAAATGTAGGTCACGTATGCGTTGGTTGTAAGTGTTGTTTGGAGACTGTCATATTGACACAGTCAGTACGAAGGGTTTTAGCTCATGTTAGAACGGTCTTTATGGGCTCTGGTTATTGAAATGGAAGTGCTGTGGAGGATGTGTCACAGCAAGAGGCTGACTCGCCTTGGGCGCCGTCTGCAGGTTGTGAAGACTGTGTTGATGAGTAACTGGCGAGTTATGTAGGAGGATCGAGCGAAACTTATGCATAACGGGAAGCCAGGCAAAAGCACCGATCCATTTCCTTCGACTTTGGGGCCGCGTCTTGTGCTGAACGATGCTCCATGTCGGCTCGAAGGGATGAACTTGAAAGCGGAAGGATTGCTTCGCCTCCGCAGCACCAACGACATCCGAGAATGTTTTGAAGTCGGTGTGATGTTCAAAATTGAAGCTGAACTTTGAGAAACGTGCACGCTCAAAAGCCTCGAAGACCCGATCGAATTCGAACCTGGAGCTCCCCGACGCCCGTTGTAGCTGGCGGGCTGCCCTTAATGTGGGCAATCTGCCATGCTTATAAGAGACTCGATGATGAACTGCTGATATAGAGTCGCCGTGGTTGTAGACGTCATTCTTGATAGCTAGGTTGTTTTCAATAAAGTCGTCGAAATTGACCACGTCTTTCCCGATCAGCTCTCGGATCTCTGGAAGCTAACATTGCGGTGTACCCAGCTCGATGTTCTTCTCGAGATCCAATTCGTACGCTCGTGAAGACCAGCCTTCGCTTTCCCACGTCCGCCTGAGCCATTTCATTTTCACCACCGTTTCATAGGTCATTGCTTTTAAGTAGTGCTTGTCGAAAGGTAGTTTGGGGATAGACTGAGCAATTGTTGATCCGCCTTTCTGGGCCTGTCAGATCCTCCAGAGGTGAGATCTTGGTCGCCAAGATTTCTTTCACGTCAGCAAGATTTGGGGTGTCTTCCTGGCGTGAACCACTGAGCAAATGCATGGTAGTTGGAGCCTATGAATCAAGCGCTGACTCGCTCGGTCCGTGGATAATGGTACGTCGGAGGCGATGGAGCTCCTGCGTGAGCACATGGTCGTGCAGTTGCGCACACCCAAAAGGGGCAGAATCGACGGTTGTTGCCTAGAAATGTGCGGGAACTTGCAATGCATAACATTAAGAAGATGACTTCATCCATCTCAACTATTCGATAATGAGACCGGGACTTGTGAGATATCTGGATACTCAAATAAAAAATAGGATAAATTAAGCAAAATAGAATAAAAATATATAATTAAAATAAACGACTATGAGTCATGAATACGGAAAAGTTAATGCTCTCCCCTATAACAATAAAAACCTAGCACAAAAAAAAGTATCTAGATTCTCTATTTCAAAAGAATACGGGAAAGATGAGTCTGGATCTTGCTGCATATCTCCCCAAAAGATGAATGGTTTGGGTTCTATACCGTAGATCAGGCACGTCGTCGAAGACCTCTATTTGGACAACAGAACTTCAGAAGAGAATAAAGCAGTCCTGATGACCGTGTAATAGCGTGAGATCCCACTCTCGATGAATGGAAGACCGGATCAGTAGCAACAAATCCCAAGATTCGCGCGAGTCGGCAAACGTGCGCAACAACTCAATTGAAGTACTATTCGCTCGCTAAAACAATCTTGCGCCTTGATGAAGCACAACGGGGAGATGCGGCCAAAAGACAGTGACATTGTACTGCCAAACAACCCTGTGATGTAAAATCTCAACACTTTCAGGCAAGCAGCACTTTGTACGCAGCCGAAAGAAATTCAAGAAGTGACACGCGCACTGGCGGCAGCCCCTCAGAAGGAGTCACTCTATTACCCACGAGTCCTTCAATCAATAGCATTATCACCTTCAAGCACAACTGTATCAACAGCTCTGTTTTTCCAAGGCCACCTGCACGCACCGGAGTCAGCGTGGCTTCTTTGGGGCAAAATACCCTGGTATGAGACTGGCTTGGGAGTTGAAACTGGCCTACTGCTCGCGAGACAGGTTGTGCGGTTCAAAGCCAAGGGTTCGATGAGGGAGAGTATACTCCGAAATGTGCACTTACAACCTCCCCAACACCAACACCTCCATCAACTTCTTTGGCCCCACCACAGCCTTCCCTCCCAGTGCCTGATTGAGCGCAGTACACCTCCTTGCAGTATCAATCGCCGCATCTCTAATCTCTCCAACGTAGAAAACATCCTCGGCATCTGCACTGACCATATCGAGGAAAATGACGCAAGTTCTGTATGTGAAGCTATTTGGCAGTACGAAAGTAGTGTCACCGTTTCGACGGAAATTTATGGGCCTGTGGGAATCATGAGCAGCTATCTTCTTCTCCGCGTTGAAGCAATCGATAAAATTTGTGCGGGAGAGTTTATGAGGCTCTTGTGGTGGGGCTTGGTGGAAGCAGCCTATTAGGTCCCCAAGAGCGTTGGTCATGTCGATGGTGGATCTGTCGGGAAAGGTAGTATTCAGGTCCTTTGTTGAATTGAAACCCTCAAGAGCACCTAGGTCAGAAGGGCTTGCTACGCACGGCAATGCAAACAAGGTGAAGACGAAGCACGAAAGAAGGATATCGAGCATTGTGTACGGCCGGAATCATGACTTTCCCTCGAAAACCCTAACCATCCCAAACAAGCAGGATTTCAGTATAAGAGATGGATCTGAAACGTTAATACCTGCCAAATAACAGTCGTGTGCCTCCGCGTTCACCCGCGCTTCGGTTGAGAGCCCCACGTAAAGAATCCGACTTTGCGACCCATCCTTTCCATTGCCACGTTCCACAAATATGAGATATTTCTTATGGAGAACGATGAATCACCGAAAACATCCCTTTTTCCGTAAGCGCGAATACAAATTGCATGCAAAGTAGGGCCACATGAAAAGCGTCTCCATTTGACAAAGTGGGACAAAGCGCACGAGGATTACCAACTGACTTCACCCGGGCTCTCGGCGCATGCACTGTCTCAATGCGGATGGCAAGCGTTCTTCGCATGGCACGTTCCAACTCTCGGTTCCTTCGAGTCAAGACCCATACCATATCATAGATCTTATTTCTCATAGTGAGGAGGAAGGACAAGTCATCAAGCTTGAGAGGTTGATTGGTCCTCAAACAGGCTTCACTTTCTTCACCACCGTCTCCAACTCCAGCAGGTGGATTTGACATTGCAAGCGAGATGCACGATGCCAATCCGAACAGATCCTGCCCTCTACAGCAGATTCAAAAGTTCTTAGCAGGCCGGCGTCAAGCAAAGTACCTTCTCTGCCTCCTGATCAGGATCCGTCTCACAGCACCCATATCAGCTTGCGAGCCTTCAGCCTCTACTCGGCGTCTTCCCATCGCTGAGCTCGTTTGACGGCGAGAACATACCATTCAGCTTCACATCACGGTCTGTAATTGGAGCAACAAATCTTTCCGATGTGCTGTAGGTCAGATCGTATGTAACTCAACGATTTGATGATTCTAGGGGGTCTGATGCTATGGTTGACTTTGAGAATTGTTGGGGGAAGGAAGCCATCACAGTGGGTGGGGCCTTTTTGAGAATCCGTGTCCTCCCGCTAAGTCCTCACACTAATATTAAACACGAACGCAGCAGCCATTGTGAGATTGTGTAATGCTATGAGTAGAGCTCATAGTCAATGAACATCTGAAATGCCTTCAGCAGTCAATGGTCGAGAGCCTCTCTTGTTCCTCAATGAGCGGTGCTAACGGTCATAGGCCCCAACTTTGAAGAAGCACTCGACCACGTGATATTAGGCATGTTTACTTCTACCCACACCCCACAAAACATTATCCTGACAGTGCAGACAGCGTCGGAAACCCAAACGAAGAAGAATTTTCCCGTGTTGAAGACTCATCTAGAAAAGATCCAGTCTCATGCCCAGCAACATGGCTTAACAACCGCAACCCTAAAGCGACTTCTTGAAGTGCTGACATCCCCCAATGCCCTCGACCATACGACTCAAAAGGCATTATTCAAAATCTTGTATCCTGCTGGCCAGGTTCCTTCTCATTTAATATGTATGGCTGTGAACGCTTTGGGCTATGGCAGTCGAAAAGCTTCGGTGTCCAATCAGCAACTGCTGCTGAAATGGATGATTGTGATTCACGATGTTCTAGAAGACAAATCGATATTGTCTAGCCTCTACAGCGTTCTCTTCAATCTCCTGGACATGAATAGTCTACGCGCGGATCTATGCCCTCTCCTTGCTCAAATTACCAGGAGGAAACATGTCAGACCATTTCGAGTCCAGATGCTGCAAGATCTCAGCCAGAAGGTTGGTCGAGAGCCTGCTCTTTCGAAGATCATGCAGATCTATGATACCTATGCTCCAGGTATGTTAGATGTCAAGAAAGCAACCGGTCGAGTTCTAGAGTTCTCACATCCCGATTTCGAATGGGCCAATCAGCTCCAAAGGATCCGGGAGAAAGCAGATCACCTGTCTGCGGATCCCCCTCATCAACGAGAGGCAACCCCATCATTTCGCCGAGGACCCAAGAGACCACGATTATCAGCCTCAGTAGAGGGATCCTACAGTCTCGACCGAATCGACAATGCAGAAGATCTGGTCAACAACGTGGAGAAAGTCAGGATCACAGGGCTAGCAACCTCAGACCTAGACGACCCAGTACTGCAAATCTACGTGACGCTTGGCTCTGAGGATAGTCACACAGAGGACGTCAATGAATGCCTCTCCAAAGCCTTCATGCAGCAACACGAGAGCTTAACGAGTGGTCGAGATGCGAAGAAGCCGCTAGTGGAGGTCCTGGACGAGGCTTTAGCATACACACAATACACCAAAGTAGGTATCAAAATTCCCGGGAGCTTAAAGTGAGCAGGGGTTGGAGACTGACACTGAGATTCTAGACGTTACCCAAACCCGTGATGACCTTCCTAGAAAAGTACCTACCAGGATGGCTACCACCGCAACACCAAGGAATAATCCTAGATCTCTTATCCCACATCCCGCTCCAAACATTCTCCGGTACGCCCCTCTTCCTTGACACCACATATTTACTCATCAAGCCAAGCCCTCCAAACCACCCTCCTCAACCCCCTGGAAACCGCTCTCCTCAGCGCCCCAACCATCACCAACCCCCTCCCCACCCTGCTGACCTTCTACACCGCGCTCCTCACGAAGTGGACCGCCCCTCTTCTCTCCTCGCCATCCGCACCAACACCCAGCCAAGTGGCCATCCTCCTCGGTCTAGCCAAGCACACGAATTTGCTAACGCAAACCCTCCTCACAACATCACCCACCGCATCCACCATCTCCCTAATACTAACGCACCTGTCGTCCCTCCCGCTTCTGGTCGCACCACCCCTGTCGATCCCCCTGCCACCACCACCGCCATTAACAACGTATCTGATCATCTTCACAGCACCATCACTCTCAACCCTATCACGGCTCTGCTCGCTGCTCACCAGCTGGAAAGTGGCTTTCGAGAGCAACGCCAGTACAGCCCGGGATCAAGGGCAAATCGAATCGCTAAATGCAGCATTGATGGACACGTGCAACCTGCTCTTCCGCTCTCGGGCTTTCAACGCCGCGGATGGACATGCGTTGGGTTGCCTCATCCCACCGCCTGTGGTGACTAGTCTCTCGACCTATACGAGCGGATTGGATCCGCCGCAACCGCTCACGAGTCTCTTTTCACTGAGCCACAACCCAAATGTGTCGGCCTTGAGTATTACCGCTTTTCGCGAGGTAGAGGATTCTGCTGAGGATAAGCAGCCGGGGAGTGTAGCTGTGAGACATGCTGGACCGATCACGACGAAAAGTCTGGCGCAGTTGGGAAGGGAAGGCGGTGTGAAGATGGGGTGGAAGGAGTACAGAGTACTTGTGCTGAGATGGTTGGAGGATGTTGGGGTCAGTGGAATTGCAGACTTTGGGGCAGCGACTATGCCCGGCATGAAAGGTGGGCAGGATGCGGTAGCTAGAGCGAAAGCAGGAGTGGCATGAATTGAACAATTTTTGTCTTCTCCTTTTCGCCAAGCAATCTAATGAAAACGTGCAAGCATATTGGCCTAGTTGCTACAACGTTCGCCCTCGAAGTCTAAGAAAATTGCCACCACTTCCTCCATGCCCCTTATCCACGATCTGCTCGTGATAGCATCTAATGCTCGTGGTAACATAATCTTATCTCTGGCTTGCAGGACAGTAACACGCTCTCAATACATGCATTTCAATCTTGCAATTGCTAATTATCGTAAGCATTGCTGTCATTTGTACGAAAGATGGCAAACACTAGCGTACCTTAGAAGCACTTGCGGTGGACGATGGATGGTCCGCTCTCGTCATACTCTTGCTTGGAGATCCACATTTGTTGGAAGGTGGATAGAGAAGCCAAGATGGAACCACCGATCCAGACAGAGTATTTACGCTCAGGAGGTGCAATGATCTTGACCTTCATCGATGATGGGGCAAGAGCGGTGATTTCCTTCTGCATACGATCCGAGATACCAGGGTACATGGTAGTTCCACCAGACTAGCCTGTATCAGCCAATGTTTTCAAATTGAGTGGCACCGTAGTAAACTTACCATGACGATGTTGCCGTAAAGGTCCTTTCGGACATCGACATCGCACTTCATGATGGAGTTGAAGGTGGTGACGTGGATACCTCCGCTCTCAAGACCCAGAACACTTGGCTGGAAGAGAGCCTCAGGAGCTCGGAAACGCTCGTTACCAATGGTGATAACCTGGCCATCGGGAAGCTCATAGGACTTCTCCAAGCTGGAGCTCTGGCTGGCGGTCTGGATTTCCTGCTCGAAGTCCAGGGCAACGTAACAAAGCTTCTCCTTCATGTCACGAACAATTTCACGCTCGGCAGTGGTCGAGAACGGGTATCCACGCTCGGCCAAGATCTTCATCAGGTAATCGGTAAGATCACGACCAGCCATATCGATACGCGAGATAGCGTGGGGAAGAGCGAAACCCTCGTAGATGGGGACAACGTGAGTGACACCATCTCCGGAGTCGAGAACGATACCAGTGGTACGTCCAGAAGCGTACAATGAGAGCACGGCCTGGATGGAGACGTAAAAAGCGGGGGCATTGAAGGTTTCGAAGACAATCTGTGTCATCTTCTCACGGTTGGATTTGGGATTGATTGGCGCTTCGGTGAGCAGCACCGGGTGCTCCTCGGGCGCAACACGCAGCTCGTTGTAGAAGGTGTGATGCCAGATCTTCTCCATGTCATCCCAGTTGGTGACAACACCATGCTCGATAGGGTACCTCAGAGTCAGGATACCACGCTTTGATTGTGCCTCATCTCCGACGTAGGAGTCTTTCTGACCCATACCAATCATGATACTGAGAGCAGGTCAGCTTTGGTATCCCAAGCGGGCGCTAGGTCCGAAGATCTAAGGCGGCGAGTTGAGGCCATACCCATGATGACGAGGTCTACCGACAATGGAGGCTACAAATAGCATCAACAAGCTGTAGCCTCAAGAATAGCAGCTTAACTGCGGTCAAGATGCCTGGATGCGACTCACGAAATACAGCTCTGGGAGCATCATCACCAGCAAAACCAGCCTTGCACATTCCTGAGCTACCAACGATCAGCCATGACCGCCAAGCTTATTTCCCCAATGATGACAGCTTGACAACTGCTCTCTGATGCGGCTTTGGAGACGAGGGTTGTGCCCTTGGGTACGTAGACATGGAGAGGACACATACCCATTGTCAATGACGAGGGCTGCAACTTCTTCTATATTGATCGAAAAGAGCCTGTTAGCAGCGATTCTTGATTTTCCAGGGTCGCCTCTGATACTGAAGGCCCTTTATGCTTGGTACCAAGAGTGTAGCGACAAGATCAAAGGTCAGCTTACCTTCCATGACGGCGGACTGGAGTGAAATATGATAGCTTTAAAAGAGCGGAATGCGATTTGTCAGAAGCTTGCAGTGTGTGTTGCAAGGAAGTTAGGAGAGGTGGTCTTGAGAGAAGCTTGTAGAGGAAGCTGTCGGTCGTAATAAGTGTTGACAGCGGAGGCAGGAAGGAGCAACCGTTGATGTTGAGCCTTCTGTGGGACGGAGTGCCAAGCGACGCTACTAAAAATTTTAGTCGATGTTTTGCCGCTCGTTGCCTTTTTCTCTAAATTTATGGGCTGAGCTCGGGAGGTCCTTGGGATTCGTCGCACTCAATCCTACGTTCATCACTCGGGCTGTGGGCAGCGTAACATGTCTACGCAAGCTCGAGATATGTTTACTAGGCAGCACAGTACCGTCTGTACTGTCCTCACTGCACGATGGTACTATTACGCGCGTACAATCTGGGAGAAATGACTTCTATTATGGCTGCCTTGAACACTTCACGATTTGAGTGTGGAAGGCAGCTGCTTTCTGTCAAAGAGCTAGGTACCTGATGCAAGGGCGAGCACACCCCAAATTCAGACTCTTCAGCCGAGCTTGAAATGTCGTCCGCTGCCTCTTCCGCCAACAAAAATAGATGGCGGGGTGGAATGTCGCTAATCTTCAGCCGCAGGGGCGGGGAAGCGACGATGATGAATCTCCAGTGATGTGATAATAACATGACATGATTCTTCGAGAACAATTTCCAACGGATTTGATGAGATCTTGCGGGGATACGAGGTTGAACGTTGGCCGTGGAAAATGCTCGAAGTTGAAAGAAGTTTCCAGTGCATGCGCGAACCATCGTCAAAAGTCCACCAGCGGAACGTCATCGGGATTAGGTGACCACAACAAGAACAACAGCGACCGATAATAAAAACGAGAGAAGCTCGAGATTGACATCTGATACGCATAACTTAATCCTCTTACACTCGTCTCGCCGTCTTTTCTATTGACTAAAGTCACAACCAGAGCCTTAAAATTGTACATTGCTACATTTCACGCAACATAAGACATTAGCATCTGCCTTCATTCTTGCTCCTTTTACACTCGATCATGGATCCAGGCATGAACCAGCTCTTAAAATGGAGTATCGAAAACTCCGAAAACCCTTCCGCCGACCCAACCTCCACCACCGACCCCAAAGCCGAGCGCCCCTCCGGCCGCCCCATCAACGCCGAAGCCCTCAATTCCCTCTTCGGAGGCCCATCCGATGCCGACTTAATGAAAGACTCCATTGCCACTATACTATCACCACAGATCACGCTCGAAAATAAGTTAGTCGCCTTCGACAACTTCGAGCAACTGATCGAAAACCTCGATAACGCGAACAATATGGAAGTTCTGGGTCTCTGGGCGCCACTGGTACAGCTGTTGAAGAGCGACGAAGCAGATTTGAGGAAATACGCGGCATGGTGTGTGGGCACCGCCGTGCAAAACAATGTCAAAGCTCAGGAGAGACTCTTGGCCGTGGATGCGATACCAGTCCTTACCCATCTCTCGATCGAAGACTCCAATGAGCCTGTGAGGAGAAAGACCATCTATGCGTTGTCGAGCGAGATAAGAAACTTCCAGCCAGGTCTTGATGCAGCGTTGAAGACGTTGCCCAAGGGGATCGCGCCTGAAGGTGCGATCGATGCTGGGGATATGGAGGCTGTGGATCGAGTCATTGGGCAGCTGAGGGAGGATTCGGCGCGGAAGGCTGCTTGAAGGAAGGACGGCATTTATCGAGACGGGATGGGGGAGGCGACATTATACCAACATGCGTGATAGACAAATGACACTTTCAGCTGAGAAGGCTGTTTTCAATGTGCACGTAGAACCCAAACCGTACCAAGATGCACTTCGATTGCTGACCACCCGTGTCCGCGTATATACATAGATGCAAATTCACTTCGCTGGTACCTATGCGCGATGCTGGGATCCAGTCCCCATGCGAAACGCCTCAAAGTTCTCCATGTCATTTCTCACAACCCATATCGTAACAGACATTTCTCCATTAACATATTCACCGTACTTCCGGCGCTGCAGCTGCGGCAATCTCATTATTGATCGGCGCGGCTCCCGTGTCAGCTGGCGGTCTCTCGAACAAGTTCCTCCAGAATCGCGGCGCATCGAGGGGCCGTTGGCCGCCATGTAAGGACGGATAGACGTCACTGAAGAAGTACCAAACTAGGAGGGGAGAGTCAGTAAATTTGTTTCTCGTGCCCACTTCACGCAGCGGGTACTCACTGTGCCCAACAATAACCCCACAGATCTCATCCTTCGGCACAGTCCCATGCAATACCAAGCTGAATGCCATTAAGACCCATGGCAGATACGGCGCCGTGAACACCAGCAACCCTAGAAAGCTCAACCTCGTCTCCGGATTCCTTCTACTCCATATGTACACCAAAGAACTCGATAAGGCGGATCCTAGGAAAGGTATGCTAAGCATAGGAGAAAGGGCTAACAGGAGCGTGGTGGCGTAGACGAGCAGCCATGAAAATTGAGCGGGAGAGCGACCTGATGACTCTTCGAGGAGGCGGGAGTAGCGCTGAAGGAAGAAGACGTGGAAGAGGAGGTCGAGCGAGAGGGGGCCGAAGTAGAGGAAGGTCGTTATCAGTCGCCAGTACTTTGGATATAGTCAGCTTCCTGTGCCTAGCATATGCCACCAAGGGTCCTACCTGGTTCTTCACAAATACAGCCCTGAAGCTGTAAAAGAGTTGGAATGGCGTAATGACATGACACTGAACGAGCACTGATGTGATTATTGTAGCTGTAGTCCAGTACCGCGTACAGGCCGGCATCTCATAGAACCATTGCTCCAACGGGAATTGTCCTATCGCTCCTCCTCCCCCGCCCCCACCGAGCATGTTATCCATGTCCATGATTGTGGCCTTGTAAAGAGGCTGGAGGTATGGCTATAGACGGAGAGGGATGTGTCTAGAAAGTGATGAATTTGCGAGTCAAAAGAATCTCATTATGATTACTGCAGTACGTAAGAAAGATACTAGTCAAGTCTGGACAAAGAATTATTGTACAACAGCAAGGTGGCATCAAGTGTATCAGCTTGCCGTTGTTGGCTTTCGAGCCTCGGAACATAAAGGACTGAACCCGGGATTCAGCCGAA